AGATTAACTATCGATTGGGCTTATTTTTCAAAAAAATTTAGCCGATCGCCAGTAGAAAAGCTAACTCACCTGTTTTGGTTGATGTGGTCAAGTTTTCGCGAGCGAATTTAGGGGAGGCGTGTGTACAACTGGTCGTCTTCACAACAAATTTTCTTCGCCACTAATGAGCCGAATTTCTTTAAATTTTCTACATGAGCACTGCCAAACACCCTCGTTATTTTCCACACAAAATTGCTATTGATCGAAGCCGAATAGAGTAAAAAATCCGTCGTTGTTTCCTCCCGAACGAAATCGCTCACTCATGCGACAGCCATTTCGTTCGAAAGCAACCTACAGCCTCCTACCGTCATGCTTAGCGGGCATCGCTATTACGCAAGTGGTCAATTGCACTTTCGACTATTTTCTGTGCATTTTATTGAAATATTCATATAGTAATCATAATCGCTTAATATAATTGTATATATAATATAATATAAGTGGGAATAGTACTCTGATGATTTATATATTCAAGTTTTTGAACTGTGGCACGGGGGCACAGGACTCCTTTTGTTCATTTTATTATTTAGTTAATAATATACATAAAGATATTACTCGACTGTGGTTGGTTCATTTCAAGGCAGATTTCCGAAACAGCAGTGCAATTTTCTGTAATTACAGTGTCATGAATAGCGGACACTGATTGCATGGTCCAATTTAAAGTTTGCATTATAACGACTGCATGGCGACAGCGAAATAGCAAACATTTAAATCTTAGAGATTTAGAGATTTATTCAGGAACTGCACTATTTACAAAACAAAGAAAATGTATACAAAATTTTACAAATAATTATGTTTTGAATGAATAATTTCAAGTTAATTTGATAAAGTGAATGTGCGTAGTGATCAAAGGAGCATAAACTTTCGAGTTGATCATAAGGAGCATAAAGTTTCGAGCATAAAGTTAAAGGAGCATAAACTTTCGCTTAAAGAAGCATAAACTTTCGAGCATAAACTTTCGCCTAAAGGAGCATAAACTTTCGCTTAAAGGAGCATAAACTTTCAAGCATAAACTTTCGAGCATAAACTTTCGAGTTGATTTGATGATTAATAAATTTCTTGCAAATATTATATATTTCATTTTTGCTCGCATTTTTGCAAGATTTTCTAAATTTCAAAAGCTTTCTCAGAAAGAAAGAAAGAAAGAAAGGGCGAAAGAATCGGCTAAAAGACGGGAACCGACGTTAACGAAGGTAAGTTTGTTTTAAATATTGATTTTATAATTGCTTTAAAACCAGAAAACCGGACGATCTTTGCGCAAAGGTGCATTCTATATGCATGTTTTGAGGAAGATCTTCGGCGTGCGTTATGGATTGCTGGCGCACAATTACGTTGAGGTTGGCGCACAAATTTTGAGTTTTTGGGGTTGGCGCAGCATCAAATTAAATAGTTCAAGTGAAGCTTCTTTGAGCATTGATAATCGCCTGGTGATTGGGATTGGCCTTTATAATTCTTTAGGGACTCGAGAAATTAGTGTTCCTGGTTGTAATATTAGAAATTAGTGGTTTTTATGTAAATTATTAATAAGTAATAACATGGTTTCTCGTGAAATTTGGATACTGAACTGAACATGCACTCGTAAGTTTTTCAAAGACCTCAAATAGCACTCGTCCTTCGGACTCGTGCTATTTTGAGGTCTTTGAAAAACTCACTCGTGCATGTTTTATCCAAATTGCACTCGAAACCATCTTATACAACACTAACGGGTTGGAAATTTCACTTAACTACATATAAGGTAGCTTTGATTTATATTTTGATATTTTTCTGATGTGTGTGTTTACATAACTTGTCTCTTGAAAATTTGGAATGTTGATTCACCTTCTAAATTTTAGATATGAGTTTTAATAAACTTGACTGCTCGAGACATTCGCTAGTGCATGGAGTTAACTTTAGCCACAAGTTTTGAAGAACGTTTTATAAAGACTGTCGCGTCGAGTGCAAACGTTTCCAAGAAGTTCTTCAGTACTCATGGAAAATATGATTGAATTGCTAATGGAAAATGTGATTGTTTGCAAAATCAATTTCTCAGTTCTGTTAATATTATCGAATGTTTCTCACGAAACGATTTGATGGCACTTTTGATTATATTGTTTGTGGCAACTTTAATTTAAGGGTGAAGACAATTGTATTTTAGCGCAATTCGGGGGAGAATGCATGCCTGCACCCCGAGAAAAGTTTTTGGTTGTACGAACGTCAGCCCCCTTGTTGGGGACCTTAGCCCCTTTGCCGTGGAATTCCTGGCGCTACCCCTGCATGCAGTCATGATGATTGTCGGAAAATGATGCGTCATTGCTGCATGTACGGCTGCAAATGAACGCCTGCTACGCAGGCTACATTACTGCATGCATATTTTTCGTTATCAAATTGTGTGGATTATTTTACGATACCATGCATATAGTGACGCCTGTGGAGGAAGCAACTTCCTCTTCTAGCTTCCGTGTGCATGATTATATTTTAAGAGTGAGTTTAAATATAGTGTTTCCACTAGTATGTCGAAATGTTTTTAAATGTTTGGGCTCACCTATTCAATTCACAAAAGAAAGTTTCGGATTGATAGGGATGCGAAATACAAGGACGATCGAAGGGCCCTCACTCGAAACGTCAAAGTTCTGCTTGTATTTTTCATGTAGTTGCATTCCTATCAATCCGAAGCTTTCATATTGGCACAGGCACAAGCCGTTCAAGACTATTTTCAGCTATTTACAGACGGGAAAAGGAATGCTATACGGAGTGAAATGCCATCAATATTCATCTCACAGACCTCAAAAGTATGACGGGTTACTGATCTTTAAAATATGACGGATTGTTCAAGAGTGAAATGAGCGAGATTATAAAACATACCATGCCCAGTGAATGCCGCTTATGAACATTTCAAAACGTTTTAAGTTTGGAGTTTTTAGAATGTCCAATAACATTGTACTATACACTGTATTTCACGGGGATTCAAGATTATATTGAAGAATCATTCTGTAGAAAAATATCGAAAAATCATGGGGGAAAGATATGACAGCGTTACCATGAGTACCTGCATTAATTTGAACTACTTCATATTATACAACGTTAGCAAAAGTGACGAACAATGCATTGCAAGATCTTTCTTCGTTTGGAATTAAAATTCCATCTAACATGGCGGAAATCTGTGTCATTTGAATCCCTTCGTATTGGTTCCACACCACCTATACAGGGTGTCTCAAAAAAAGGAGATCTTTAGAAATTCACTCATCGTCAATATTATGAATTTTTTTTAGTAAAAACAGTTTATCGGCAAAAGCAGTTTAGTTGAATGACATTTCAAAACATTTTACCAACAATTCAGGTTAAGTTTTACATTAAATCAAAGCTCACAAAATGCAAAACAACTTACCTATATGGTACATATTTCGGACATTTATTGCTGTGTAATTAAAAGTACTCTTCTTTCAACTATTTTTGCCGTTTTGTACAAGGAATATTGTGAAAAATTGAGGTCGAACCTTTTGTTGAACCTTTCATTTCAACCTTTTATTTGCAGGAAAACTGATCCCCCCAGTCGGCACGTCCCTGAGGTTTAGTATTTAGTATCAGTATAGACATCGCGTCGCATGCACATTGACGGTCATTGTCAATGCATATTGCAATTTGCCGGTCAGTGCATGCACATTGCAAGGTTGAGCTTGTGACTAGTTTAATGCCTCGAACTTTGGCTTTTATCCAAATTCGAGCTGCGCTCTCAGGCTGTATATTGGGCGATTTTGAGTCGTTTAAAAACGTTCATATATACAGTTACAGCAATGTAACATATAATGTAATATGTCCCTTTCAAGGAATACTAAGTATTTGAAACCCATTCAAAACATCCCAACATCGTCCAACATTACCCAATATATTGTTCAATCAGATTTAATAATGGTGCGTGGAACAATGTTGTTGTGCAATAAGCAACCTTCGGTGTGAGAAAATGCCGGTATTGTAGTGATGAATAGAAGACAATTTGGAGTGTCGACTGTACATCAAGATAGCACATTTCATGTGGGACAAATTCCAGTTGGAACTATAACATGTAGCTGAGACTGAAGGCAATAGAATATGCATATTAAAGTATTTAATCATTATTTGAATATGCAAAACGTTGCTGAAAGAAAAATTGTTCTGCACGGTCCACCTCCTTTAAATTAGAAACTATATATACTTTATTTTCCTTTACCCAAAGAGAAAACACGCAAATGACGATTTTTTTAACTCTTCCAGTCTGAGCTATACATGTTATGATTCAACTCAGGGGCAGACTGACAGCTTTTTGGGTCTCGGTCAGAATAAATTCGAGATTGTAATATATCATTATACAACGATATTACAATTCCCATGTGTGAGTGTGTACTAGGGACACGCACATTATGCTGGAATTTATTTTAAATTAACAGAGGATTTTTTTGAAACCGGGAATAATAGGCAAAAGCGGGAATAATAAAGAAACGTGTTGGTATGATGTCATCGTGCCAACGTAAATTCCGTAATGAGCATATGCGCCATCCGCCCACGGGCCAGCGGCACGGCGTGCACGTGTGTACCGTCTCTTAATACGTCGTGTACGTATATAATTTTTGAACTAATATGGTTATGCATTATTTGCTTCTTTAACCATTATGCAAATTTCAAATAAAATTGAAATTTCTCAAATTTTCTTTCTTACTGATTATACATCCGGTGTGTTCCAGACTGAAACCGGTTCTGGCCGTACATGTTATACATGCAGTATGCACTACTGAGACACCATTATTTCTATATCAAACCATTAGTTTCAGTTGCTTTTTCCTGAAAAATTGTCATTTTTTCATCCATCTCAAAAAGCTAATCTCATACTGTTGGAAATTGCAAATATTTCCAGACATACATTTCAAGATTACCACATAGTCACTGGAATACACTGGAATATATTTCGGCCAATGACATGGTGTAATTTACATCACGTGTATCTATCTGGATACCCCGTCTAGACCAGCAATTTCAAACCTCGTTAGTGTTTTAAACTTGGCTTCCAAATCCCCAGTGCTATGAACAATGGTTCGGCTGCGCCTCAACATTGTTCATGGCACTTGTATTTAGAAACCACGTCTAAAACATTAACTCGGATTTGAAATATTACTTCGCAATTTTTTTCGTCATTTGGAAATGTTTGCCCGACATCCCCCCCCCCCCCACCGCCCCAGCTATAAATGCTAGCTACCGCCCTGAAAACAATGTATTTAATTAAGTATTTAAAAATGGCAAAGGTGAGTGCACAGGTGTTATCGAAGCGTGTAAATAATAGTATGTTTTTTCATGCAATTTGCAAAAACATACACTCGTGAGTTTTTCAAAGACGTCAAATTGCACTCCATTTTCAAAGACGTCAAATTGCACACTTTTTCCAAATTGCACTCGAAACCATACTATTATTACCTATACATATTGTTCGATTCATATTGTTTCAATATATTATTTACACCTAAAATAATCTAGTATGTCAATTTACGATGTCTTGAAATAAATAGAAACACTTATAACTTACAAAACAAATGAATAAATTATAAGATTACCTTAAGAGTTAAGATTAGGATTAGGCAAACCTACTAGTTCGTTCACTCGAATGGTCATTTTACGGATATCTTCAACGTATCTCTCTTCGTCCTTGCTGAAGTTATCAGGAATCGGCAATTTATAGTCGACCTTCGGGTGCGCGGGTTTTCTCCTACACTTGAGCATTTTAAAAAATACTTGTTCGTGTTTATTTGACCACTTAAACTTCCTCTTCAATGCATTCCACTTCTTGTTTCCTTCACGTCCTTCTGGCGTATCCTTATTGTCCTGCAGCCATTTCATCATGGTTGAAAATATTCGGCCGAATGTGATTGACGTTCCTGGTGGATAGATGTATGTCGCGAGGTCCTTTTCGAAGTTGTAGGCGGTCTGCCCTGTATGAAGAGCTGTTTTCATCTCCATTAATTCGTTTTGCGTGTCAGTGAGTTGGTTTCGCATTACTGCCATCTCGGTTTTGAACCCTTCCTTAGTTTGCTCTACATGTTGCTCTAGGCGAGTAATACGATCTGTTTCCTCAGTTTTCATTCTTTTTACTTCCGTTATCATCTCGTCTGCTTTTCTTTTGCTTCTTCTCAAGTCGTATTTTAGGGATGGTATCGATGTTTCTTGCATCTCTGTTCGACCGTGTTTCCGCTCTATTATTTTTTCAATGTTTTCAGTTTTTTTTATATGGGTCTGTATTCCGTTACGTATTTCTGTTGCACAGGAAAGCAGTGCGGCCATCTATTTCCCTCGGAATGTTTGAGTTGTAACAATCTGCTATCCTTTTCTCTGTAAAGTACAACATACCGTCTTCAGTTCATTCAGTTTATTCATGCCATAGTCAACTAGAAATACATGCATGCAACAACCTCTCGCTCATATTTCCCAACATTGTTTCAATTACATTAATTCAATTACGCAGGCTCACGTTACTCGCGTCATGTTAGCCATTGGCAACTGGCAAATCGGCATTGATTTTTTAAATTTTTTGTACAAAACATGTACATTTTTAACCACAGAACTACCAATTTCTAAAATATATAAAGTACAGCTGTGTTATTTTGCATTCTATGGGCTTTATTTTAATGTAAAAATTCAACACGAAACTCTTCGTAAGACGTTTTTAAATGTTCATTGAAATTAATAGCTCTTGGCGATAAACTCTTCAACTTATTACTTGTACTTTGAAATAAAATAAGTTTAACAGGTCGCTAATGATGATGAGATTTATTGATCATCTCCAAACAAGGGGCTTTTCAGAATCAATTATATAAATACAAATTTAGTTACATTACAATGATAATAACTTAAACAGAAACCTATATAAAATAGTATATTATTTTAGGGACCGGTCATAAAGTATGTGTACTGGGGGGGAGGGGGAGGGGGGTGGAGGGTATTCCAAATTTCTACCATAAAATTTGGCACCCCCAAAAACGTCGGAAAATATTTAATACCCCCCTCAAAGGAGATGAAATGTTTCGTAACCCCCCCCCCCACCCGCACCCAAACAATCACCTTCTCCCCAAAAACATAAAATTCTAAGAACATAACTGTTTTGTAAATTATTGCAATCAACTCCCTGTATTGAAATATTTAGCGTAATTAATAAATAGAGAGTGTACTTGTTGAACACGATATCTTACGAGTGAGTGCGGCGAACAAGTGAGATATCATGTTCAACACGAGAAATTAATCTGGTATTTCCAAGCACCCATGTATTTTTCTGTTTATTATATAAAGGACAGTCTTTGAAAAGCGATAATTTTTACAGAAAAGTGATAATTGAAAAGCTATAATTTTCACATGATTGTGAGATTATCATAAATTATCTCACATGTGAGATTATCACTTTTATCAGTGCTGGCCATCTCTATGATGCACTATACTTCATATAATAATACTATTTATATGCCCTTTGGTGAAAATCTGGGTCAGATCTAGAAAAAAGGAAAAACATTACTCAAAATCTTAACACCAATTTTTATACAAAAACGCTCGAAACACCAATTCATTAATATAATCAAAAAATTGCGAAACAAACAAATTACTCACAAAATTATTTGCTAATTTTGCTCTCAAGTTAGTTGCAAATTTCTCCTGCGACATTTTGATTGGATGTGCGTGTCAGGCTATATTTCTAAAATAGAGCCTGATCTCAGGTTAGGATCTCACATATTTGTAGACTTTGGTTATATCAACAGAACGTCGTGACGTATTTCATATCTTTCTCAATATTTAAATCATTCTAAAAGTAAATGTGCAGGGGAGCCACCCGACGGTAGAATAACGTAATCAAAGACCGTTCAGGTTGCAGACATGTCAAACTAGCTAATAGGTTCCGATCGAGACACTTTCATAAATACTACTGTGCTACATTGCAATTTACGGGTAAGAACATTTGGGAACATACACTCGATTTTTTGAAAGTATATTGTATTATAAAAGCCTGTAGTTTCATTAATCATAGACATAGTATTCCATTCATTTTTTGTTTCGTACCCCCCCCCCCAAATATCGTAATTTGTCTCATACCCCCCAAAAGTTAGATAATATTTTTCATACCCTCCAGCTTACCCTCCACCCCCCAGTACACATACTTTATGACCGGTCCCTTATTATGTACTGAATGAATCAAGTTGCTTTCCTTTTTATTTTGAGCTTCCACAAAAAAATAAAACAAGTCAATTTAAGAAACTTTCTCACACAATAAATAGGAAAAATGTATGTTTAGGCAAAACTTGAACCATATCAGCCCATTAGCTAGGCGTGTTAAATATTTGACTAAAATATTCAAACTTTTAGTAAAACTCTTTAATATGGCGAAAATGTTTAGATAACAATGCATTTCTATACAGTCTTGGGTGCGTGCTACAGGTGACATTATGCACTCACTGCATATACCATAAGCAGCCCAAAAATGCGTGGTATTTGTCTCTTTTATGTAGTCTCATAGCTTGAATAAGTTTTGAAAGCTCGCGCTTGATAATCTTTTACATTCGCGCGTGACACTCGGGCGTGCATATACTAGTCTACTTCGTTTATTATTATGACAAGGTTGCCAAGATTTTTAACGGAAATTTATTACAACGTTTACTAAAGTATGAATATTTTGCAAATTACAAGCAAAAACAATAAAAAATCTACATCATTTCAAACACTGGTAATTTTACTATACATTCTCCCAAAGTTTTAACTTCAAAAGTTCATTCTAAGGATGTTTAAAAAGCGAATTCTTTTTGGGTTTTTGACAAACCTTTTTCAAAACTATAGCTGGGGTCACTATACCCCGTGGTGATGTCATATTTTGTAAATCTTGAAGAAGCGCTGATTGGCTGTTGTGCATTGAAGTTTCCTACCGGAATCGAAACGTTTCAAGCGCGAGCTTTCAAAACTTGTCCAAGCTATATGAGACTATATACATAAAAGAGACAAATGCCACGCATTTTTTAGCCTGCGTAGCAGGCGGTATTCGCGGACATGAGAGAATGGGAAGCTTGAAATACCGCCTGCCCAAAAACTACACATTCTGAGTTCTTCCCGGCAGCTGGGTGCCGGAGCATTCTGATTGGTAGCCTGCGTAGCAGGCGGTATCTGATTGGTCAGAATGTTGATTTTGAATTTTTGATTGACAGGAGTACAGAATTAGAATAATTAGTGCTAATTTTAGAAGTTACTGTTGCCGTATTTATAATATAAACTATTGTTATTTTCGCTTTTTCGTAATTGTACCGATATATCGAGTGATGACATACACTAACCAAAAGATAACGAATGTATTAATTGAGAATTAAGCGTTGAATTCTTTAATCTTTATCTGGAATCGGAAATCGCTTCGACTTGAAGAATGAACAACGAATATCAATCCAACATTTGTTGCTTGAAGATGTGATACCGTGATAAAAGTGCAGATTTGAAGATACAGGCTCGTAAATGACACTCTTAGTCGTGTTTTTGATAGCGATTGGAACAAGCCTATTACAAAGTTACGTCTGAAGGGGCCGAAGTTGTGTTCGGCGAAAGGTATGGCTAGTCTATATTTTTGTTCAGACAATTACGTAAATGATAATACACGAACTCGCTTGACTTTCAAAGCTCAAATCGCTATAATGTTGACATCGACTAAAACTATCGCTATGAATGAGGACATATTGTTACACTGAATCGAACGTGGTATTTTTGTCTTCATAGCATTGAATGAACCGAAGATATGAAACGTCAAAGTCGTATATTTGCACTGGTGTAAATACGTGTCGGAGTTTGACAAATAATTAAAATAAATATATTACTGTAAGATGGGCGGGACCATGCGGTGGGCGGAACTCAGAATGTGTAGTTTTTGGGCAGGCGGTATTTCTAGCTTCTACCGCCTGCTACGCAGGCTACGCATTTTTGGGCTTCTATGCATATACTAATAAGTTATTAAGGTTGGCACACTAAATCAAATTAAACATCACATCACTATACCTAAAACCTTGTAAAACTACTCGAAATACTTTAACAACTTGAATCTATAATAGTTTTACTACATTCGTAAACTTTTTTTCGAAATAAATGAATTCCTAAAATTGAAAAGAAACATGGCCATAAATTACGGACATGGTTTATTCTGTTTCCTTATCATAATTTTCATATCACATTGAAACATGGCTTCAACAGTAAACAATGAATTATATAACGCGACGTTGTTAATCGAAAAATCTGAGAATAAAGTAGGTCGTTTGCAACTTGTCTCAATCGCTGGCAAAACAAAGTCAGTCGAAGTATTTAGTGTAATGTTTGCCTGATTTCAGTTACGATCCCTCTTCTGCATTTCCAATATTTGTACAGAGGTTAGTCCGCTTTCTTAAGAATTCGAATGTAATAATAGGGGGTGTGTGGGGGTATTTCCCCCCAGAAATATTTTGTTTTTTTCCCCATAGGACTGCATTTCGTGCGTTTTCTGAAACAGATTGTTGCATTATACTGTAGATAAACTGAATCTTCAGTTAAGTACTTGGATGGTATATGTTGATGTAAATACCACAAATTGGTCACTAACTTGTTTAGCGTAGCAATGTTTATCATTTTTAGGCAATGTTTATCATTTTTATACATTGAATAATTTGAAGATAAAAACATGACATAAGATTCACAACTAAACAAATATCAGTTACTAGAATGTCAAACCTCCCTTCTAGTTTCAATTTTCCTTCCTATTTTTGCTTATATTTTAGAGAAAAGGGACTTTCACTGAGGGGAGGGGGGCAAAATGATTGAGTGGGGGGGGGGCACCATGGATGCTGCATGGGGGGATTTTAAAACATTGCTACGAAATATGGTATAGCTTAGCTAATTCGATAAGACCTGATGGTTTTTCTAAGTTTCACCAAAAACAACCTAATATTAATGTACTTTCAAGACATCAATACTTGTAATTCATTTGTTTTGGTTGGATAAAAAAGTTGTTGTTGTTGTTGGCTGGTAAACATTGTGCAAACTTTGTTCTGCAACGACCAAAAGATCTACCGTATTCCTTGATTTTGCGATTTGCAGCATCGCGTAATATAATTTACTGTTTACTGCAAAAGCCATATTTCAACGTGTTATGCAATTATATCGAAACCTGCTTTGTGAGGCCTCCCTTCACACTTTAGCTGCCTCCGCCGCAGGCCCTTATTTTCCGCACATATCAATGGAATATATAGATCATACAGATAATCTTGTTAGTCAATCTGGATTTTTTACAAATAAAATTTTGAATTGTGCTCGACGTATTGTTTGCATGACATGACGTTGTATTCTTGACGTGATTTTTTTGTCGGATGTGTTGTATGCTGAAAACGACAAATGTAAGGGCAAAATGTGTGTTGCTTGGATTTACTATTGCATAATTGTATCTACAACACACCTCATGTAGGGTTCACCTGCATGACATTAA